TGACATCATATGGTATGGAATAGCCCTTTGGCCAGTTTGGGTCAGCTGTCCTGGCTGTGCCCCCTCCCAGCTTCTCGCTGGCAGGGCATGAGAAGCTGAAAAGTCCTTGACTAGTGTAAGCACTGCTCAGCAACAACTAAAACATCAGTGTGTTATCAACATTATTCTCATCCTAAATCCAAAACACAGCACTATACCAGCTACTAGGAAGAAAATTAACTCTATCCCAGCCAAAACCAGGACACCACATAACACGCTATTATTGTACCCTACAAGGTTCAGTCCTACCACAGAGATCATACTGATAAAGAATAAAGCCTTCTGTCCCTCTAACAGGATTCAATATCAGGGTAGCGCACAATATTCAGAGACCTCTCTCTCTCTCTCTCTCTCTCTCATGTTCATCCTCCAGCTTTTGTTTTTAATGGGTAACCAGGTCAAAGTTGCACCTTTCAACCTTCCATCAGCTGAGGAGCAAGGCACATCTTTTTTCACTCCCAATGGACAGTCGTTACACCATTGCCTGGACACCACCACAGCCCCCTGATGAGCTGCCATACCACACACCTGCCCTTGCGCTGCTGCTCTGGATGACAGACCTGCCCTCTGTAACCATATACCAGGCTGGCTCGTTCATGATACACACAAGCAGGTGACCATGTAAGCCACCCCAAGCAAAGACAGCAGCATACCTCTGCATCCTCGCTACAACAAGAAGCAATACTAAACTAGGGTACTGTTGAAGCGAATAAAAAGAAGGAAATGTTGCTCTGTGACATTCTCTGCTTGTACTTGTACTTCGCTTTCCAGAACAAAAGAAAAACCTGCATCAGACATCATTGAAATGTGTAAAAAAGGAAGGACTTTTCATTAAATAGTATCTAATCAGACTCCAGAAGTCTTTTGCAAGTAGGTTGAGGCTGAGGGACTGAAGAGACCAGCATACATCCTATCAGTAAGGAAACATCTCTGGATGCATTGTCCTGGTGGAAAATTTATATTCAAAAAGCTGTCAGGTAGGAAAATACTGAAATTAATAAAATCAGGGGCTGAATTCAAGAAACTCCTTTTGCTTTGGAATCTCACCTCATGCAAGGTGAGCTCTGAGACCCTTTGGGGCCGGGTGCCACTGCCAATACCAGAGGGAAATTTTTCCATTGGCATCTTTGTCAAGATTTCAGCAAAAACGGCCTGGAAGAAAGAACAAGCCATACAAGCTCACCAGGTGCCTCACGTGCTATGGGTAGTTGGGGGAACTTCCATGAAAAGTTTCATCTCAAGTCAAGACAAGACTGTATGGACATTATCTTCTTCATGGTGTGAAAGAAGTGTGGTGTTATACAACAGAGCGGAAATGGGTACCCTTCCTTGGCTGTTGTCCCATCTCATGGCTACTTCATCCACATTAAAACATTAACTCATGTTTTGCTACAGTGGCTTACTTGTTTTAAATAAGCCAGATGTAAGTACTTTTGAGACACCGCTTTAAAAAAAAAAACAAAAAAAAAACCTGCATCCCCTAATGTGTATCCAGAGTTCAGTCATGACATAAGGAGGAATGGCCATCCAATTCACCAGTGGTAAGCTCTGTTAGCAGCAATAACAGTTAAATATTGTATAGTGCATACAAGGGAAAAATAATTAATGGTCAAGCTTGTAATTAAGGTAATTTGGCCCTGCTAGCAGGTGGCTTTTTCTCAGAATTCAAACCCAAAAATATTTAGTATGGTCTTATTCCCAAAATAATGTAGAATTCAGGCTCCTTTTAAATTAGTTACAGAACAAAACCAGAGCATTTTAGGAGCAACACATGGGATGAAACTGTATTATTTGAACCGCCCATCCAAGTCACAAAACTTTGACCTTTACTAGCTTTAGCAGAGTGCAAAAACAATCCTATCCACGCAGTACAGTCAAGCTATAAACAAATTTCAATACTCTATGATTAACCAATCCTAGCAATTTCAGCACAGGAATCAGGGTTCACTTGAACAGTCCTGTTTGTCAGAAGAACATGCTAAAATTGCTATTCTGCACACAGGTGACCCAAAACACTTTTGCATGTGACCTTCTGAACCCACTCACAAACAGTGTACAAATGACTCTCATTAACTGCAGTTGAAAAACTGTGGATGCCAACAGGTAAAAAGCAGAGCTCTCTGGCAATACTGCAGACAGCAAAGCAGCTGCTTCTAGGCCTCACATAGTGCATGGCTGTCAGTTTAGGAGGGTATGCTTTGGTCTTTGCTGACTTCTTCCACGACACTGGTGCCCACCTGGGTTAGCAGGAGTGGAGGGACCTCCAGCAGGACATGCACCACCGAGGGCCTGGCAGCTCAAGCCACGTCCGTGACCTGTGGTATCTCACCCTGCTTGCAACAGCTTACTCAGTTTTAGCCAAAAAGCCATACATTTATTCTGAAAAAAAGTCCACTTTCTGCAGTTTTTTGGACTCTGGAATCCCCCCCAATAAAACAATTTAATTTTTTTTCCTGCGGAAGCCTATTTTCTGATTTATTCATCCTCACCAACGTGACAAAGGGCTGCCAAAGGAACCTGCAGGGAGCAAAGGGAACTTGTCAGTGAGAAATTTTTAATGGCTGGGGGGCTTTGTCTAGGGCTCACCCCTCAGTTAGCATGAGTGTTAGGGTTGAGAGAAAGAGAAAGCCAGAGCTCCCAGCAGAACGCAGGAGGAACAGGGCTGCCAAAGGGTGGGTAAGCTGCAAAGAGAACGTGCCTGGGAGTCACTTTTCACCTGGGCAATGACAACAGCAATTAGCAAGTTGGACAAATATGTTCACATGACAAAAAAAATTGCAACGTTTCCAAACGTTATCAACTAATGGAAGGTGAATATTTTGCAAAGATTCTATAGCAGAAATATAGGCTTTGGAGGGAAATAATAAGTTGTTGGGATCTCCATTCAAATTTTAGATTTGTTCAGCAGAAATAAATGACTACATATGTCAGACTCTGGACAACAACAAAAGAAAGACTTTCCAGGAAAAAACAAACAATGTGAAAAAGGAGGGAGGAAGAAATCTGGAATGGAAAAGATTATGAGGGGGAAAAAAAGTGAAACCCACTTACACTGTAAATATTTTTCTGCCTGAACAATAAGATAATGTTTGGAGTGATATTGCACTTTAATCCTTCCAAATGCTTTCAGTTTATTAATAAAGTACTTCAAATCTTTATTTTTCAACCTATAGCTCAAGGTAATTACCTCTCATATAGGGAAAATTTACAGCTGGTCTTTAATACAGTGTCATTTTAAACTACTATATAATAAAAAAATATACACACACATATATATATGAGGGTGTCACACTTATTTTCTTGTGTTTCTCTCAAGAAATGAATTCGTTCTCTATCTGCACTAGAACATTAGGTTTCAATTTACATATGCTTCCTGAGCACTGTGGATACAATTTTCCAGCTACTTTGCTTATAAGTTAGTATTATTGATGCTTTCTACTTTCAGAGATTTTTTTCTTTGTTTTACAGCTATGTCAGCAAACAAAATACGCATTTGTACACCTTTATGGGCAGCGCAGTTTATCTATTAAAACTGGATATATTAATCATTGCCCTGTAGTAAAGAATTTATAATGCTCATATGAATGTATTATCAGTAATTCCGTGTGCTAAATAGATTGCATCATCTCATTCTTAAGGTTTCTAAAAAAAAAAGTTAGCCCCATATAGTTACTGCAGATGTTTCAATTAT